GAACTGTATATATCTCAATATTTATGTTGCAGTTTGTTTTGAACCAAGTAGGAGAGTGGGTATTTCTTTTCTGGAATTGCAGTCTTGGCACTGACAGGATATAGTCACTCAAACACTTCCAGTAATGCTTATTTAGTGTTTGCATTGTGGTGGCACATGTCCAAAAGAGAGAGCAAAGGAAAACAATAAGTTGCCTGCTCAAGAGCTGACATCATAGTGTGAAATTTAAGTACTTGTTTTTGTGGTATTGTTATTAATCATGGGTCTGTGCAGGGGTCATCCTGTAATTCCAGCTACTGGAGTCCTGTGAATGCAAAGCTTGGCCTGAGAGTTTTCCTAGGGCTGCCTTTCATCTTCAAGTCTCCTGTATAGCAAACACACCAGAAAAGCACAGCTCCAATTTGTCTTAAGCTTAACAAAAAATGTGTTTCTTGTATTGTAATTCCTGAATTTGTTGTCTGTTTTATTAGCAATATATTTCATAGGAAGGTTTGGGACCACTCAAGCATTTTATCTGTGAATAAGGTTTCCTTGTCTTATTTTACAGCTGCTTATTAGATGTTCCCACAAAGCTTTTTTTCCCCATTGTGGCATTATTTGGGGCTTTAGTTAGAAAAATTGAAGAGGTGGACCTAGCAACCTTTCCACTTGATTCCACAGGTGGACAAGTCCACCTGTTCACCGCTGATATAACCAGGCATTATAATGTATTTGATGAGGGTTAGCTTGGTTTTTGTTTTCTGGACCTTCTTATGCTCTTCAGCTAGAGGCAAATGTACAGAGCATGGGTAAGGTGAAATCTGTCTGGCTCAGAGGCTGTGATTTCTCCTCCTTAGCTATCACATACAGCACTAGCATGGTGCTGGCCTTCAGGAGCCTTCAAATGCCATTTGAAGCTGCTGGCCTGGCACAATAAAACACAATATGTGAATGGGTGTGGGAGTACCTTGGAACAAATGGCATTTTCATCTAGCTTTATTCCTAAGTTCAATGAAGAAAGTTATTTCTGATGGAAAGGCTGAAGTTTTCCTAAACTCATTTCAAATACACATTTATTCACTTCTCCTCCCTCTTTAAAAAGGTGGCAGTGGTTCTCTAGATCTGTTTCTGTAGATTATGTTTACTTCCCTAAAATCCAACTCTCATTAAATTATCACATAATATCAAACCTTCAACCTCACCAGTGTGTTTGCAGAACAATATTCAAACTGTCCCAAGGACAACTGCTGATACCAACACTTCTGGGCAGTGCTAACCTCAAGATCTCAGGACCCACTGCAGTTGTGTCTGCTTCTTTTATGTGTGGTTTGGAAGTTTTATAATCCTTTATCTTTTTGAAGGTGAAAGTTAAACACCATAAACATTCAAGTTGATTTATATGGGAGGTTTGCTTTTGTAACCCATTCCTTCTGTTCTTGTGTGACTCCTGGCTCTGTAATCCAGAAGCACAGAGAGGGGGAATACCTGTTTGAGTGTCAAGGAGATCAGTAAAGCTGTTACCGAAGGTCTTCACTGGCCCAGCTCCTTTTCCTTGAGAGGTCCAAAGGCTGTGCAAAACAACTCCAAAAATGTCTGGACCAGTGATCCCTGGGACTGTGTAGGACTAGTGGGACCCACTCCCACTGGCAGTAAAACAGGACTGCCCTGAGGGCTGAACTGGTGTCTCCAAATAAAATCTCTGTGTTGGGAGAATGACGCCACCTAGATTAAAAGACTGGTCAGTCACAAGCGGTGGGGCCAGAGACACACGTGCAAAAATGTCTTCTAAGCACACCAGGGTGAGGACCATAAATTGTGTGAATAAAAACGCACTTCCCCAAGAGCCAAAGTCATAACTTCCCATTGCTTCCCAGAACAAATCCCGTCTGCTCTGTTTATTAGGTGGGACTGTGTACAGGCAGTCACTCTAAGTGTGTTTATTTTGAACTCATCAGTTCAGTAATCTCAGGCAGCTCTGGGAGATTTAACTCAGATAGAGGATTAGGCTGGGGGTCATGAGGTCAGTGATATTAAGATAGAGAGAAGGGAAGGAAACAGCATTGTTTTTGTGGCATTATCTGAACAGTAAGAAAAAATAAATTCAGGTTGTAAGCTGGCTTTAACCTGACTCTGAAGGAAATGGTCTACAAATCCAGCCAGGAAGTAGGCGACTGTGATGAGACCCCGATTCTCTTCAAATTTGTTTTGAGCCACCCAACCAAAATCCATGGTGGTTATGGCTTGATTAAGCCAGAAATCAGAAAATTCTAGAAATTCTCTAGAAATCAGTTAATTACATATTCAAGTGTTCAGGTTTCTGATTTTAACTTTCCTTCTTAAATAAAATCTCTGGAGTAGCTTTTGGGGCAGTGCTGAGCTCCCCACAGTGACAGCAGCGTGCTGGATGGGTTCAGCTGGTGGCCAGCATCACCTCTAGGTCCCAAAGCTGCTCTGAAGCAGAAAGCAGGAAAATTAATGTCCTGGCACCAATGAAATCATGGGGGGCCATCTGCCAAAAAGTGCAAAATAACTCATTGTCTCTCATTTGGAGTCTTTGGTGTCTTACAAGAAGTGAACTCATATGGTGAACTACTCTGCAGGATGATTTTTGAGGAACCCATAGACAATTTTCCACATAGACAATTTTCTTCAAGATCTCTAACCCCCTGTAAATGTGACTGAAATAATATAATAGGTTCCAAACTTATTCACAGGAGAAAGACCCAGCATTAATGCATAGGACTGGTTTCCCCAGAATAACAAAACAAACAAAAAAAAAAAAAAAAAAAAAGGAAAAAAGCATTGGGAGTAAAGTAAGTAAGGATTTGTTTATTGCCTTCTTAATATTTTATCATAAAACACACGGTCTTGCCTCAGGGCTTGTTGGTGGTTTGTATATGTGTGTGTGCCTGTGTGTATACATATTTTTGTATATAAAAATCCAGTAATATCCATTGTTTAAAAAATCAAAAATGAGAAGGATTTTGCTAAAAGCATTTTGGGAAAACCTCTGCTCTCATTTTTCCTGTCAATGTTTTTCTAAGCTTTTATTTTTATTAGTCAAAATGTTTAGAATCCCCAGGAAATCCTGGGATGAACCATTTCCTCTTCGAGCTGTAGCCCTTAGGGCAAAAAGAAAAAGCTCAGATCCTTTCAAACATTAGAAATTTTTCAAACTTTCTTTTGCATATTTTTTAAATTAGAGAAAAACGAAGTTAGGAAGATGCTTAACTTCAAGCCGTGGTCCTGGGAAAGCTTGGTCTCTTTGTAGAAAAGCCTGAAGAGACCCTTAGATCTGGGCAAAGAAATCTTTTCGGCTTGGCTCTTAATGGGGAACTGATTGCCAAAGTGAGGTATAACAGGTTCAGTTGAAAGACCATCTTTTTTTTTAATATAAATTAAAAACTAGCATTTGCTTTTCCTCAACCCAATTTGTATATGTTAGTTAGCATGTAACAGCTTTTTATTGAGGCTGTTAGTGCCCTGAAGATCCTTTGTTATTATCAATATTACTAACATTATCAATGTTATTATTCATAATTAAATATCCAATACCCTTTTATTATATACATGAGATTTTGCAACTTCCTCTCCTTCACCTTCAGATAAACTTCAATGGGAATCATAATTTTAAACTAAGAAAAACTTCCATCCTGCAAATACATATGTAAATTGCTGATTTAAACTCCTCTTGGGTTCACTCGCTGAAGTGGGTTCAGTTGCTAAAATTTAAGAAGGTAAGAATTCAGGTCCCAGACTGAAACTCAGCAGGAATTACCTTGCCCAGATTTTGAGATGATTGTTATTCTCTGGGAAGGATGGGCCACTGCTGTTATAAATGAGAAAAGCTTAAAAACTGGTGAAATATGAGACTGAGGGGTGCAGGAGTCTTTTCATGAAAAATGACACATCAATATAATTTTTCAGAAGTCTGCATTCACAGACTTTTGTCATCATTCTTTGCATTCACTCTCTGTCACCACATTCCACTTTATTTTAGGAAAAGTGTGTTTATTTATTTATATAGTTCATGACAAAAGTCTTCACTGCTGTTCTACTGATTTATTAATCTACAAACTTCAAGTTTGTTCAGAAGGTTCTTGGAAACAGAACATGTAAAACCCAGACTTAGTGGTACAATAACTGTACTAATGTTACTGTAATTAATAACTGTAATAATATTACTCCCACAGCCTGTCACAAATCTAAAAAGATTTTTGGTAGTTCATGTGAAATTTAGTAGTCCTTTTTTAATTTGTTTTGTTCTTGTTGTTGTTGAGGAGGCATGGAGGGTTTTTTGTGGTGGGGGTCTTTTTGTTTGTTTGCTTGGGTTTTTTTAGGCTTTGTTTGGTAATTCAAGGGAAAAAAATTAGGGACTTAAAATATTTAAGGACTTTTTTTTTTTAGGTTTGGGATGATGGGGATACTGGACCAGTCTGTTGGGACAGTGTTACAGATCTGTTTCTCTGTTCTCACTTTGCAAATGGGTGAGTGAAGGAGGAAAGACAAAAGGAGGGAGACTAATAATGTATTTCCTGAAGTTTCTGTTATTACAAGCATGAACAAAGCTCCCATACAATACCCTTGACTTCAGAAGTTCATAAGATTTTTATTTTTTTCTCAAAAACCTGCCAACTGATTTTGGGCTTTGGGTTTAAACTAGGGTACAGGAAACAGTCAGAAGCCCTAGACCTGTCCTCATTTAGGGGAGTTTCCATTCCAGTGTCTGTCAGGAAACAGATTAACCAGCACAGAGAGCCCAAGAGTTCTGAGACTGTGACCTCTGAGCAATATGTATCTGTGTAAAGTTATACTCTGTGGAGAATATTATAGGGTCTTGCACCTGAATGCTTTTCCATTTGGGAATGCCTAAAGACCGTCCCTTGTTGCTGTGGACCTTGTTGCTGGGATAAAGGAATAGACTTCAGGTGCAGGAAAGTCTTTCAAAGTTTTGTCCTTTAGTCCTTGTTGTTTTGATTCCTACTATCTTTAACTTTCTTTTCCTGCCTGTGTTTCTGCAGGTGCTGTTTGCTCTAAACCAAACTCTGCTCCAACACGAAAGCCTTCGAGCAGGGAGTTTGCAGGCCCCTTACACCACTGAGGATCTCATCAAGCACTACAACTGTGGAGACCTGAATGCTGTGATATTCAACCATGACACTTCTCAGGTGAGCAGAATTGTTCCAGATGGGCCAGAGAATTGAGGAAAAATCAGCTGCTTTAATAGCAGTATCCCAGTCGTCACTTCATATTCTGATCCCTCTTTCCCCTCTTCCTTTTAATGCCCTGTGTTTTCTTTCCACACGTGCCTCATTTTCCTGATGAGAGAGTGGAATTTCCCTGGTTTTGCTCAGGCTCTGGGGAATCATAGAATGGTTTAGGTTCAAAAAGACCTCCAAGATCTTCGAGATAACTGCTAAGCCAGCACTGCCAAGTCCACAGCTAAACCGTGTGCCCAAGCACCACATCCACACATCTTTAAAATACCTCCTGGGATGGTGACTCCAACACTTCTCTGAGCAGCCTGTTCCAATGCTTGACAGCCCTTTGGATTAATAAATTTTTCCTATGTCCAATTCAAACCTCCCCTAGTGCCACTTGAGGCTGTTTCCTCTTGTCCTATTGCTTGTTACTAGGAACAAGGAATGGACTGCCTGGAAAACTTTCCAAGGGATGTTCTTGAAAAAAGGTTAATTCTGGATGTTTGGGGCTGTTGAATGCAGACTCCTCATTAAGGGTGGAGGGGGAATCTTTGTAATGTTTGAGCTTATATATGAGGAGGAAGTAGACCTTATGTAAATACTCTATAAAGTAAATAACCTCTCAAACATGTCATAATTCAATAATTTTGTGTGTGTCTCAGACAGCCCTTCAGTCTCTGTTTATCTTAGTTGTCCAAAGCTATTAAAAACTCTCAAGGGAGCAGAAATCTGCTTTCCAGAGCAGTTTGATGCTTCATGTCAAACTGAGATTCCTCTTTCTCCTTTCCAGTTAATTCTATGAAAACTTGGTCTTTGGATGTCATCTCAAACATCTCCTTTTTTTTGGGATCAGTATTCCCAGATTCCAGTTTTAGGTGCAGTGACTCACTTGGGGCAAACCTGTGTAAATTTGACAGCCACACTATTGTATGTGTCTTGCCAGTGAAAGAATTAAATCATGATAGCAGTCCACCATTAGCAAATGAAAATCAAGGAGAGCTATGTGACTTCCAGAGAGAACTGAGACAAGGTAAGGTCAGTCTGTGGATTGGGCAGAGGTCTCTCAGACATTTTTATCTTGCCATCACTATCTTGGGTCTGCACAGGGCTGTGTGGGTCACTTGTTTCTCAGCAGAACACCTGAGCAGGCAAGTGAGGCCCCAACATGGGATAAAACCCCTTTGGTGTCCCAGTTAACTCAGTCCTAGAAAATGAAGCATTGTTTTAGCATGACTGAGCAGGACATACCAGGGTGGTTAACGTGGCAGCACTGGAACACAAGAGTGTGTCATACCAAAGCTGCCAGAGCTGTTCATTCTGGTCAGCCTTGCACTGAAAAGTAAGGGGAGAAAGCAACTTGAGTAGGAATATGTCTTTAAAGATAGGGAATATGAGTTGGAAAAGGTAGAGAGCTCATGACTTTAGAGGATGCCGAAGAAGTCAGTGGTTGTAGTTACTCCTGAAATTTTGAGGCACAGCACACACAATAAACAAGGAATAAACAAGCAAGATATAGTGCAATATTTGCTGTGGATGCTGTGAAAGGACTGCTAGTAGTCAAACCCATGAAGACAGTCCTGGTGTCTGAATGTTCTGTGTCACTTTTTAATCTCCACCAGTGTAATTTCTCCTAATAAGTAAAGCCTTTATCCCTAAGATGTTGTGGTCCTTCATAGCAGTTGCATGGACTCACAGACACCTCTGATTTATTGACACATTGTCCTGTAACAGACCTGTGGGCTAGACTTGAGAGGAACCGTTTGGTGTAAAAACTTCTTTATTCCTGCAAATTATTGGATTAAGTGTGAGTTTCAAAACAGTGTTAAAGACAGAAGAAAGAAGCCAACAACCAGTCAGAGTTCGAGCACTGGTGTTAGTCATGGTCCCAGAGTGCACACAGTTGATGGAGATTATAACGCTTACAGGCCATGGAAAATTAAAATCCCTCTATGTATACTGGTCCCTGCAGAACTCTAAATATTGTGCAGTACTGTTGGGTAAAGAGTTTTTTTGTTTGGTAGTGTTTTTATAAACCAACTCTATGCCTTTTATTTTAACTGCAAGCAGAACAAAATAGAAAATTAAAATGTAAAATAAACTCCCTATTCAAGTCAGGTTTTGCCAGTTGGGGTCATTCCAAAGTTTGTTCTCTGTGTTTTTTTGCAAGGATGAAAGACTGTCTGTCATGGAGAGTTTTTGCCATTTGGTTACCAAATTAGATTAGCCTGACTCAGATATTACACATGAAAGATTCCCCATGGGATCCCTCTCTGGAGACATTAAATGTAGGCACAGGGATTTATCATGTGCTGAGTCTGTTGCAGTTCAGGGCAGATACCCATGCCAGTCTTGGGACAAGAGTGCCACAGTGATTTTAGAGGGTGTGTCCCTTCTTCCATGATATCCAGCTGCTGGCCCAGCTCTTTAGAGGTCTGATAAGAGTTGAAGCTGATACTGTTACCACATCCTTGAAATACCCCATAGAATGGAGCAAAAGATCAGAAATGAGACTGAAATCAACAGCAAGAATCAACACCTATGTGAATGCTGGAGGCCAGGGAATTCAGCTCCATCTGGGGCAGCTCAGGAGAACTGCAAAAGGATGGGACTCACTCTTTGAGAACTAATTTGGGATGCTGTTTAAGGTTATTCATGTCTGCTTGTCCCTTGAAGGTTATCAGGAGCTGCTGAATAAAGGTAAATTGTCCATCAGTTGTCTCAGCTCAGAGCTGATGGTTGAGGCGGCTGTGATGGACTGGGAAGGAGGTGACAAAGCCCAAGGTCACTGTGGGGACAGTGGCAGGGATAGGGAGAGTATTTATGTGGGTGCAGTAACTTCCTAAATGCCTCTAGTGTGACTCTTCAGAGATGAAGCAGCTTCAGTAGCTGTCTGCAAGATGCTGAGGTGCCTTTAGTGCAAAAATCATCTTGGAGCAGAAAGGACCAGAAGAGGAAACACCAGCACCGTTGACCTGACATGTTTCAGATACGTTCCTTGAGTCTCTTCAGCCTCTCCAAGAGAGTTTGGGAAGTGTGAGGTTTTCTGCTCATCCCTGGGTCCTGCAGCATTTTGGAGGAGAGGGCAGAGTCCTTCTGTGACCAAGACTGTGCCAAGGGGGTGCACAGACAGGATGTGCTGGGAGGAAAGTGCAAGGAAAGGTACTTCCTAGTCCAAAGCAGTTTTTAGGTCAGAGGACAGCTCCTTTGTCACCCATGGGTAGGGACAGGACCACCCCAGGGAGATTCTGCTCACCTTGGGCTTGGGAAGTGCAGCTTAGCCAGGGTGCCCAGATTGAAGGGTTGTGAGCAGGGCCCCATGCCCCTGACTCTTTCTGTCCCAGAGCCATCAGCCCTGATGAGAGCAGAGGAATAAACAAATCCTTCTCAGTTTCAGTGGGTTTTTAACATTTTATTTTAATTAAGAACAGTGAAAGAGGAAACACCTCTGCTTTCCTGTGGTTATACTACATTCATCATTCCTCTCCCTCTGTTTTTTTAACTTTGTTTGCAAGCAGCATTTTTCCAAATGTGAAAATCCTTATTTAAACTTAGTAAAATTTTATGGGGGTGAGTTTAATAAGTTAGACTGTGACCCAAAAGTGCAGTAGGAAACATCTCTCTTTTTTCAATAGCCTTCTTCAAACACTTGATTCTCTTGTGACTTTTGCAATCAGGAGGCTTATGTTGAGGTTTCTGGGCAGAGAGTCAAAATGATACCAAAGAGAAAGTATTCTAAGCTAAAGATAGGATGGGTGTATTTTCTGCTCTTTCTCCAGACTATCTTTCCCCTTAAAGAAGTCAGCTTCTTTCTCTGCTTTTGTAAATGTTCCCTAAAAGCAAAAATGGATTGGATTGGATTGGATTGGATTGGATTGGATTGGATTGGATTAGATTAGATCAGTAGTTTTAACTTCTGTATTCTGTCTGAAGCTCTCACTAGGGAATTGAGGTCAGTGTGTTCAGAGTATTAAAATGCAAAAAATCTGTTCATTCAAAATCAGAAAATTATCTGCCTCCAGATGAAACTTTTTTCACCTGAGACAGCTGAGAAATTGCCTAATGACCCAAAGCCTTCATGAAGAAAAAGTAGGGTGCAGAGCAATTTATTGTGTTGGGTTTTTCGCACCAGTTACTTCCTATGGTCAGTTTTGAGCTATTCAGTTTTTAAGGACAGTTCTGTAAAGCAAATTAATCTTTGCCAGCATTGAATTAGCTTGTTCTATGTTTCCGAGTACCCCTATGTACTCTTTATTAAGAGGAAAATTGAAAATCCAAGTCTTAGATTTTTGTCCTTCAGCCATTCCCAAAAATTGTGACTGTGGTCTCCAGCTGTTGTCTCTCATCTTTTGTCCCCAGCCATTCTCCTGACCTGAGGAGAGGCTCCTCTCCCAGGAGAAGATGATTTTTCCTTTCTCATTGCTGATCTGGCCTGTCAGTGACCTGAGCTTTGGTGATCACTTTGTAGACAATTTCTACTGGCCCAGCTACCCAGGTTTCTTATTTATTATTTGTCTGTCTCATTTAGGGTAAACAGCATGGGGCAAGAGTCATACCTGACACTTCCAAAGCATCTTTCATCCAGGGAGCCTTTATGGTTTGTGTGTTAGGTTGTATCAAGAGCCCACTGAAGTAAAGGAGAATATTTCCATGCCTTCAGCAGTTTGCATTCATCCAGCAGCTCAGCCATCACTGGATATCAAAGTGAATAAATCAAGTGAGTGACTAACCCATTTTACAGGCTTTGTGCTCTGCTCAGCATAAAGATCTTCTCACTGACAGCATGTGTAAGGTCTTGACTTCATCCCATAAGGTTAAACAAGCTGTGCAGTGAAGTTGTTTGGTGGTCACCACAGCTTACAGACTGCTCTCAGCCCCTTTCAGGTGCTGTGCCTCCTCCTTCAAGCTGTGTCCATCAGAAACAGCCAAGCTTTTTGGATACCTTATCAAATGATGCCATTCATATCTCA